GAAACAAGCTCCCCGCTGAGCAGGGAGCCCGACATGGAGCTCGATCAGCTCGATCCCAGGACGCTGGGATCGTGACCTGAGCCGAAGGCAGACGCTTAATAACAGCCACCCGGGCGCCCCTGGTACCCCTTTTCAAAAGCACCTTTATGGACCTGGAACATTTCCTTATTCATTATGTGAGCTCTTCTGATAGGGATTTTATACTCCAAAACTATTCTAGAGATTAAAAAAAAAAAAAGGCAAGCAGCCCTTGTTTTTTATTAGCCTCTTGCTTGATGCCTAATCTCTAGATATATGTAGAAAAAAATCCTTTCTACCACCACTGTTTTTCTGCAAATTTTATTGCAAAAGAGAAAAATAAAAGGAAGGATGGTGGAATCAGAGTGATTTTATATTTCTTCCTATGTCTGGCTTTTGCTTGACTCCTGACGGTATCCAGAGAAACACATGATGGGTCAACTTGGAAATGCTAATTTAAGCTACTTACATAATTTTGCAATATAGCATGTCATGTTCAGTAGGCTTCAGATCCAGTGTTGGAAACAGGTAAGTCATGGGGTGTTCAAAGGTCTCCCAGTAAAGACACATTTAACTTTACTACTAAGATTCATCGATGGGATATAATTAAGTTAAGAGCATGTTCCCTATATACACATACTTAACTGCCTTAGTAATAATAGCCTACCAAATAGCTATAGCCTGTTCATTAGTAAACAGCTCATTAGACTACTAATTTGACCCACAAGAAAACTGACCAGTTTGGAGATAAAACCTGTGATCACCATACTACTGTAATATTTCTGTTTAATCAGTGAAATTAAAAGACTAATCATGATATAGGTTACATTTCTTCTATTCCTAAAATACTTTTATTTAAAATCTTTTTGATTTTAGGGGTGCCTGGGTGGCTCAGTCGGTTAAGTGTCTGCCTTAAGATTAGGTCATGATCTCAGGGTCCTGGGATCGAGCCCCACCCACATCAGGCTCCCTGCTCAGCAGGGAGTCTGCTTCTCCTTCTCCCTCTGCCCCTCTGGCTTGTGCGCTCTCTCTCTCTCTCAAATAAATAAATAAAATCTTTTTTAAAAAAATAAAGTCTTTTTGATTTAACGGAGTGATGTAATTAACTTTAGCCTTAAGTTTTCTAATCTCCTTAGGGTCTGGACACCTTTAACATTGACATTCTTATTGATGAAATTATTATAAACCTGGGAAGTAAGACTGACTGTTATGTCTCTGACTTTGGGAAGTCAGAGCTAAAGCTATGGTTCACCTTTCCTCTGCCTCCTACAGGCTTGTCAAAATCATACTAGGGATACTAACCTCTTCTTCCTTCCTTCCTCTGAAACTATAAATAAGGAGCTGAGAGCTTGATGCCAGAGCAGGGATTTAGAATCAGAGCATAGTAGAAGTGGGGAACAGAGTTCTGAGAAGCCCTAACAATGGGGATAATAAAACCACAGATCCAGGATTGAGCTAAGTCATAATTGAAACCAGTTGGGATTAGAGAAAAAAGGCATGGGTGGTACTAAATATCCTAAAATCTTGACTCAGTATTTTATTTTATTTTTTTAAAAGATTTTATTTATTTATTTGATGGAGAGAGAGAGAGCGAGAGCAGGAACACAAGCAGGGGGAGTGGGAGAGGGAGAAGCAGGCTTCC